GAGAGAGAGAGAGAGAGAGAGAGAGAGAGAGAGAGAGAGAGAGAGAGAGAGAGAGAGAGAGAGAGAGAGAGAGAGAGAGAGGTGGGGATAAATTAATAGAAACAGAATAAGGACTAATAATAATACAAGAACCATTAATAAAGTTAAGAATAGTAAAAGTGTTACAACTAGGAAAGTGTGTTTTTGGCAATAGAGTATGTCATTAACTCATTACTAATCTAAATCTAACTATCATTAACAAGAGAATACTGTAGGTACTAGGTACCATTATCATTATTATTATGTACTCTTGATTATTAATTTATTATTATTACCATTATGCCGGCTGTGATGAAGAGCTGGTTCAGTGAGACTAGCCGCCCTCTTAAAGTCTTTGGTGCCAGCTCAGCATTATATACAGGAACAATCATACTCAATATACTACATGATGTACATATAAGGAGAAAAATGTTTCTAAATACATTGATATCATATTACATGTACATGCACACATGTAGTGTGAGGACTTACCCTACACCAATTCCAGCAACCATTTGACCAACCAATACCATCCTGGAGGAAAGAAAGAGTAAAAGGAAGGAAGAGGATAAAATACATATAATAAAAGAGACATACATGCATGAACATGCTATACATGTACATGTACAGCAGTAATGATTGCATTGTGGACTGGGTGAAAGAACCAAACTATCATAAATTACTTGATATTACTATGATCTAATCAGCAATTGTTAGTGATATAAGGATTATCATCAAAGTATTGATGGAGCTCTTTGACAAAGTCAGCAGTTTATACAAGGCAGCAGAAGGTGATTTTTATAATTCATAGGAAGTTGCTTCCTGTTATCATCCAAAGTAGAGGTGGGCGATACCAGAAATTTTGAATCGATACCGATACCAAGTAGTCTGAGTCTCAGTATCGATGGTATCGAGTAGTGAATGAGTAGTCAGCTACTGCGCATGCGCAAATAAGTTATAATTAGTTATTAATAAAAATGAATAGAAACAAGCCGCCATTTTGTAATTATTAAAGGGCGTGGTCATAATTATGACGTCAAAAATAGGTGTGGTAGGGCATGGTTAATCACTACTCGATACCAGGATTTGGTATCGAGTACTTGGCAGACATGGGGTAATAGTAATAGATAATAGTAATAGTAATAGTAAAGATTACATGTTTTGAAGTAATAGTAATAGTAATAGTAATGGAGGAATCAAAAAACCAAGTAATAGTAATTGTAATAGTAGGAGACAGTTAAGTAATAGTAATATAATAGTAATTGTACATATTGTAATACATTATTGTACAAGTATTCAATGTACATGTACAGGTACATGTATGTGCATTCAAGTCTGTCTGCTCTGACAAAAGCTTCATCTGCTCCAGTGGAACGATTATTCAGTATGGGAGGGAATTTTTTTAGACCGGGACAATGCAGACTTTCTCATACTGTTTTTGAGAAAGTAAAATATAATGGTCATTCGCTTTAAAGAGAATTGATTTGAAATTATAATGTAATCGTAATATAATTAGATTACATTTAGTCATGCATATGCAGTAATAGTAATAGTAATAATGAAATTAGTGAAGTAATAGTAATAGTAATATATTACATTTACATCTACTAAACACGTAATTGTAATAGTAATAGAATTTTTTTCTAGTTAATAGTAATAGTAATATATTACTTTCTAATGTAATTGACCCCATGTCTGGTACTTGGTATCGGAGGCCTGGTATCGGATATATGAGTACTTTGGTATCGTATCGCCCACCTCTAAT